AAGCATTTCAATACAGTGACCCCTCGTTTAACGAACACCTCGGTTAACGTAATTTCGATTAACGAACTGCCTTCCATAAGGATCTTCAATTCGTTTAACGAAAAAAATTTCGCTTAACGAACTTCTTACGAACCGACCTCAACATGTTTTCGCTTGCACTGACCGGGCAACCAGCTTTAGTATCAGTCCGCCAATACATTAATCAGTTCTAGGGCTTAAATTCCTTACTATTTTTGTAAATATCAAGAAGTTTATACTATTCAATAATTTTAAAAGTTTAATATTCAATTTTTTAGTCATTTTAACAATTATTGAACATAATTGAAGGTAAAGTGACTAGTTTAATGCGCGGCATCCAGCCTCTTAACACAGCAAACAGGCGTCAGTCTCTCTCTGTTTTCACTGGAGGTAACATCTTGCTTGAGACTCTCTTCAACTAAACGCTTTTTTTCTGTGTTTCCAAGCAAATTATTGGTCATTTTGAAAATTATTTTACATATTGACAATATATAGTGCAGTGCAGTGTTACTTTAAAGAAAATATTCTTTATTTACAGCTAGTTTAACTTTGAAAAATACGTGTTGCCATTGTTTGAATCCAGCATGGGGCCTAAGAGATCAAGAAAAGTGATTTCAATCCAAATAAAGCAGGAAATAATAAAAAAACACGAACAAGGTATTAAATCAAATGCGCTATGCAAAGAATATGGCATGTCGGCATCAACTGTGTCGACAATTCTTGCACAAAAAGACAAATTTAAGGAAGTGAACGTGAGAGACAAATCTACAAGAGTGTTTAAAAGTAGATCCCTAATCGTAGAAACTGAGAGGTTACTTATCATCTGGATTAGGGAAAAACAGATGAAAGGTGATTCAGTTTCTGGTGATTTCATTTGTGAAAGAGCCAGGGAGATTTATGAACATTTAAAGACAGATCAACCTGGTTCTTCAGGAACAGAATTTGAAGATTTTCGGGCTAGCAAAGGCTGGTTCGAAAAATTTAAGAAAAGAAGTGACATTTTAAGTGTTGTTAGGCATGGTGAAGCTGCTAGTGCTGATAAAGAAGGGGCAGCAAAGTTTTTAATTGAATTTAAAAAACTGATGGAAGAAGAAAATTATCTTCCACAGCAAGTGTTCAATGTTGACGAAACTGGGCTGTTCTGGAAAAAGATGCCCAAAAGAACATTCATCACCAAGGATGAAGCCTCTTTACCTGGGCATAAACCCATGAAAGACCGTCTCACTCTATTGCTTGGTGCCAATGCTTCAGGGGATTTCCGACTGAAGCCTATGCTTGTCTACCACTCTGAAAACCCCAGGGTGTTCAAGCAACAGAAAGTGGTAAGAACAATGCTTGGAGTTTATTGGAAGTCCAACCGTAAGGCATGGGTGACAAGACAGTTCTTTAATGAATGGGCTGTTGATGTGTTTTGCCCCTCTGTCAAGAGCTACCTAACCACCAATAAACTTCCTTTAAAGGCTCTTCTCCTCATGGATAATGCTCCTGGTCATGACCCTGACCTTGCCAGAAATTTGGAGTATAAATTTGACTTTGTGAAAGTGTTGTTTTTGCCTCCAAACACTACATCACTCATACAGCCAATGGACCAGAATGTGATCAGCAACTTCAAGAAGTTGTACATGAAGAAAATGTTTAGGAGGTGTCATCAGGCAACTTCCATTGATCCTGAACTAACACTGAAACAGTTCTGGAAGACACAATTCAACGTCCTGGAGGCTGTAAAATTGATTGTGTCATCATGGCAAGAAGTCTCCAATAGAACCCTCAATTCTTCATGGAAAGCACTGTGGCCATCAGTAGTCCATGATTTTGAGGGATTTGAGGATGACACAGAGTTGGACCAGGAGATTGTGTCCATTGGTCAGTCATTGGGTCTTGAAGTGGAGGAGAAGGATGTGGAAGAGCTTGTGATGTCTCATGAGGAGGAACTTACTCCTAATGACTTGAAGGAACTGGATGAGATGTTACGGGTAGAGGCTGACAGTGGTGAGGAGGAAATTGAAAGTGATGACCATATGTCAGCTAAACAGTTGAAAGATGTGATTTACCACTGGGAGAAGTTCAGGGAACTGGCTTCAAAGCACCCAGAAGTGGAAAAACTGAACTAACTTTGTGTCATGTTGAGGACTCAGTGGTCTCCTTCTTTAAACATAAGTTAATGGTGAGGAGGACAGATGCCCCACAGACCACAATTGACACTTTCTTCAGTAAAAGGCAGAGGGAACAAGATGCTAGCCCTCAGCCTTCCACTTCAAGAAGGAGAGAGGATGTTCATGGTGGAGAATCTGTCAGTCCAGAGGTTCCTGACATTTTCATGGAAGGTGACTCACCTTCCAAGAAGCAGTAAAATGTTTCTCCTCCACCTCCACTTCCTTCTCTTCTCCCTTCTCCTCCTGCACCTCCCACTTCAAATGCACATCATCACCATCATCCAGGAGCCTTCTACATACACACCTCAAAGTAAGTAAATTTTTCCGCCATTTTTGTTGAAGTTAGGAAATTTTCGGTGAGCTGGAACCAATTACCCAAAAACCCATTGAAACAATGGTTTCGGTTAACGAACGTTTCGGTTAACGAACGACCTTTTGGAACGGATTGAGTTCGTTAACCGAGGGGCCACTGTACTGCACTTATAAGTGTGAAAGTCACGATAACACGGACCAGCATACAATCCTACTTTGTATTCAGGACACCTTGTGGTGTTGCATTTCCGTGTATGAGGTCTTGCAGTCAGACACTCTGTTTCTTAGTTTTACCATCCTCTTTGTCCATATTGTTGAGATAATGGTATATTGTACAGCGTTGTAAATAAACTCAATAAAAACAATTTTGTTTCCAGTTTGTAGCAGGTACAGGTTATAGGAATTGAGAATAACAACATACATAACACAAAATAAAATAATTTGTGATACCATTTCAATGTCTTCTTCATGCTGCATGAGGAAGACATTGAAATGAGTCATGCATTCAACAGCTTTTATCAATACGTAGTCTCGTATTTTCATAATCATGGTCTTTTATTTTGTCTTAGTGTTTTCTGCTGTCCTTCATTTACCTTTTATTAAGGGTAGTCAACACTGACACCTTCCATTTATCTTGACAGTTTATAGCTAATATTTTGCAAGATGACTGCTATTCACACTGGCCACGATGAGTTACTGCAGAAATTTTGGGCATCTTTTCTGTTTTATTTTATTACTGTGCCACACATTCTGGTTTGTTTAAAGTGAATAGGGTGACACAACAGGGGAAGTATACCAATTATCTGTGTATAGTGTATACTAGGTGTCCCCTTCCCAAATATCTGGTCAAAGGTTTCTTTACTATTGCACCTGAAATGCCCAGTGGGTCAATTTTAGGTACAGTAGTACCTCAATACACAGGACTAATTGGGGCAGACCCCAGTCTGGAAAATCAGTTACTATAATGTTATTACTGCTCTTCAACAACTAAGGCCTTTAAGTGCATAACAATAGAAAAACAAAGACGACGACTGGATTGAAAATCAGACATATATATGGTTGTCAACAATTGTTTTTACCGAGATGATTGGTTACGTACTGTACTGTGTAGTGTTATACAGTAATATCTCCATTAGCCGGAGCTGAAATTTTCTCGGAAAATTGTTCTCAAAGCCGGAAAATTACTGCTTTGGGAACTATTTTCCGAGGGGAACATTTCCCGGAAAATTCTGTGAAAATTTTCCCGATACCCAGAAAATTCCGGGGATATGGGAGCTTTTTCCGGGTTTGAGAGATGAAGATCCAGAACATTTTCCGGAAATTCCAAGAAAAATCTTCTGGTATCCGGAAAATTACGGGGATGGGGGATATTTTTCTGGGTTCGAGAGATGACTTAATGGGCAATTTCTGGAACTTTAAAGAAAATTTTTTCTGTTGCCCTGCACCAATTGTTCCGGCTAAATGGGTATATTGTGTGTGGGAGATGAGAGAGATCTGGGAGCAGCATGCAGGGGAGGGTATTGTGGTAGGGTGGCTCCCTTCCCCGAGATCCTTTTAACATGTCTTTATGCAAATTTACCATAATTCTCATATCATTTAGGTTCGTTTGGTGCCGGGTGGGATAAAATATTTTAGTAAAATAATCACATTTTCCCGAAAAAAGAATCCCACACTCAACACCATGAGTTTGTTTACAAAGGGCAAACAGCTGATTGGCCTAGCTCCCTCACCACTCATGCTTATCACATCTGTCTTCAGCACTTAACAAATTACAACTGTAATGTATTTATCATTACCTAAATAATATTGTAATTTGTTTATCATCACTTAATAAATAATATTGTAGTGTACATTACAGGTATTATGTATCTGCATATACCCTGGTTTATTTATTAATTAGTTGTCAAAGTGTACAGGTAGCCAAATTGAGCCATCATGTATCACTCAAATGTAACAAATAATGTTTGGAATATATTTCTAGATGAAATATTAGAGTACAGAATTGTATGTTATAATGACACCACAGTAAACTGATTTGCTGAGCTCTCGAGGGTTATTACTGTACATATTGGAATGCCTCTACCCCTAATTATGTTCTTATGGGGGAAAATTCATTATAAAATGTCTCACTATACAGCGAGTCACTTTTTTCCGTAACACATCCCTGACATATAATATACAGTATCCTGTAAATTTTTTCCTATCTTCTTAACACACTCTGCCAGCCTCCAGTAGGACAGTCTTCTGTTCCCACAGTGTTTCTGCTTCACTAGTCGTCAGTCTTTGCTGCATCATTTCTCAGCCAGCTTTTGAAACTCAAGTTTTATACTTTCATTCCTCAACTTCTGATTCTTCTCATTTTATTTATTTATTTATTTTTGCTTAAATTTTGTCCTTTATGATTTTGGAAGGGAAATTACATAATGCACTGTGAGTATGTGTACCAACCAACCTTGTAGACTTCTTTTTTTTTCTTTCTTAGAACGTTAGTGTATTTAATTTTTTTTTTCTTTTCAGGTATCAACCACAAAGCCAGGGTGGATTGAGTCGGTGTGGCCCTGAACGCAAAAGCTGGCGGGACTTGAGCCCCCACAAACCTCAGCCTGTGGGTAAGGTGGTGAAGGGGGAGACTGCTGTGCCTGATGCTGCCCCACTCGTTGATCAGCCTTTCATGTCATCTGTTAGAGAAAGAGCCGCTGCTTTTGATAATGCAGGTTAGTATGATCTGTTGCAAGTTAGTCAGAATTTAATATCTTAGCAAAGTGAGCTTTAGCCCCAGTAAGACTTCAAACACACAGTTTTGTAAAATGTAGAGATGTTGCTTCACACAACCCAGCAATACCCGCCAACAGTTCATCCATCCACATTTCCATCTATCCAGTACCACTTCTATGTTTTTTTCTCACTTATCTTTCTCTTCAGATAGTAGTTAACACCTTTTGTCAGTTTTTCATTTCCCATTCCATTATGATGTCCAAACCATCTTAGTACACCTTGATCAGCCCTTTTTTTGACACTACCTTTATTTTAGAGCTCCTTATTTACTGGTTTCCATCAGAATTTCACTGTGTATTGCTCAATAATAATTGCAGCATTGTTTAATAAAAGAACCACAAAGTTTTTATTATGTAAACGATTTTGCATGAAAGAAATTGTTTTATCTTAAGGGAGATGAATTGGGTATTTAAAGGAATGGATATGGTTAAAGTCTACATTTTTGTGTCTGTGTGCCCAGAAGAATGAGCAAATAGTGATTTAATGATTATCAGGTTCAGATAAATGCTTCACTCATTCAAGACAACAGTGGGAGTTAACTATCACGATGTTTAAGAATATTGTAGTCTTGTTATATGGTGGTAGTATTATAGGTATGTAGCTTGAGAATTGGCTAAGAGGCTTGAAGATTGAATTGTGAAATTAGGGAATCTTAAGGATCTGTGGTGGGTGGGTTAGTGTGGTAAAGCTTTTTGAATATTTGGAGAAACCGAGTCATCTTGCAAGTCTGAAGATCCAGTAATAAGATCTATTATTTTCTCTGCTCAGTAGTAAACAAAAAGATCAAGAATAATACAGTTTTTAAGTGAATGTCTTATTTGATAATACTGTACTGTTTTAATTACAGGTGGACGTGAGCTGGCAAAGGATCCAGCAGAAATGAGTGTGCAGGAACGTTTAGCATTGTTTAGCAAAAAACAGGGTGCAGCACTGGTCCCAAAAGCACCTTTTGGTCAACCTGTCTCGGCAAAGGTGAATTAATATTATTTTTAGATATGGTACTGATCAATCAGCAATCAGTTTTAAATTGCGAGATGAAATAGTAGACTGTAGACTATTGCTGTATAGAACATCGTTGAAAAGTATTGTGCAGAATTCACTTTAATATTTATTAAAAATAATTCAGTAGATTATTGTTTTGTTACCACAATGATTCTTAATACAGGCGCTTCATGGTGATGTAGCAAGTGTGTCTAGAGAAACATCCAGTAAGCCCACAGTAGCTCACTCACAGCCAGTCCATAAGCCATCAAAGAGACTAGCTTCTGAACCATCCCCAGTCTTTGCTGCCCAAAAGCTGCAGCAGATACAAAGAGGTAAAGGTTTGGTGTGAATAAGGAAATTTGTGTTAATCTTATTTTTATGTCCTGTTGAAAAACGAAACTGTAGTTTATTATAAGAATTTGTTGTCTGAGCCGGTATTGCTACACATACTGATGCATTGTGTCAACAAATGTGTTATGTACAGTTCCATAATTACAACATGTATATCTTTGCTCTATGGTATTCTCCTTACATAAGATTATCAGAAATTGTTTATGATGTATCTCCAGACTTTCATCAATATGTATACCCATAGTGTACCTTTTTTATATTTTTCCTTGATATAAAAGGAAGATATATAATCACTAACAGCAGATCTCTCCAGTTGGGTGACAACCTCAGATGTACAGCAGCAAACTTTATTCTTGTGATAAAGGTGTACTGTATACACCTGTGACAAGTACACAAATAACACACAAATAGTCCCCAAACATGTCCACACTATTAGTTATGTACTGTATAGGGAAATAACAGGCATGGCTTGGCAGAGATAGAATTAGTCACATGATATTTATGACAACTTAACAAAAAGAGGAGAGGCATAATTCTGACATGTGTATTAAATGGCAGTATACATTAATCACAATAATATTTCACACACTTATAACAAGCTTGACGAGGCAATTGAGTGTGTATAGTCAGTGAATCGATGTCTGTACTCATGTATGATCTCTTATGCCCCAATGTAATTCTCACTATGTACACAAATGTGCAGCCTCTGACTACTGCTTCCTCTCTGGTGCAGCAATGCCTCCCATTTGTGCCCTGCACCTGTGTCATGGGGGATGGGGATCAGTTCAGAATGTTCTCATCATTTAACACTAGCGTTTGCCAGAATAAAATACCTAAGGGGTACTTTGCCCTCTAAAAGGTTAATCTGCATTACCCCCAGGTTCTAATCCACTCTAAAGGTGGACCACGGGCATTAGACTAAGTGAGGAGCCGGCTGAGGTGACGTTGCCAGGCGTTGTACCCCAGTCCTTGCAGCCAATCCCATGCCAAATTAACATATAGCGCCTGTTATTGCCAACACCCGAGTGCATGCATTTGCCCTGCTAGGCCTAGTCTCGCACCACGCCAGGTGTTCCTCCTTCCCAAGGACGATGGCATGTCACAAGGTGTGAGCGAGCCGGACTGGCAGCGCATATGACAGTAACAGTTGCCATTTCAATCTGTCTGTCTTTTATTAGGCCACATATCTTAGTATCTCCAAAACTGTGTGTCATGGAGGGATGAATATTCCAGTTCAGAAGTTTGTGTGTTCTGCTATGCCAAATTATAGTTCCTCTTCATTTAAAGTTATTGCTCACGCCTGTATTACGAAACAACATCTTCCCTTGAAGAGGGTCGTCGTGTTTCAACCTGAGTTTTAAACTAAATGAGTCCTGAGGGGCACCGCAGTACTGAACTTAACGGGGTGGTGTGGCGGGAAAATTAACTACATTAATTCCAATATTATAAATAAATTTTACTGGAATTAGTTAATTTAACCGCCACACCACCCTGTTAAGCAGTGTCTGAAACTCATTTGGATTTAAAATTAATGACCTTCAAGATTGATCTCTTTATATTTAAAAAAAAAGTCACTTTCAAATCCTGCTTCCTCTGAGTCACAAAACAGTTATTTATTCTATCCCAAATACTGTATATTATTTCGCTAAACATTTTCATACACTTCTTTGTCAGAATTTTATGTTTTAGATAACTTTGTTTTTGTTGTAAACACCCCCAACTAACAAGTTCAGGGGAACATCATCATACTGTACATCTGTCTGTCTAGTGCTGTTGTCTATTCATAGACAACCTTATAAAAAAAATTTTGTATGCAGAATTTATAGGTTGAGGATGATGCTTGTTGGTTATCAAGTGAAGATCGAGGGGATAAACCATTACACTAATAGCTCTTGTTTATTTTGTAAGGCATTCCAAACTTAGTGCCAATGTTTGTGGCATCAGGTTATCATTAGTATGCACATCCACACACACACACACACACACACACACACACACACACACACACACACACAAACACACACACACACACACAAACAAACAAACATGACGAATTTACAATGTAATTCAAATATACGATATAGCCACCACAGTTTTACATTAATTTAAGTAGCTTTAGGATAATAAGTAAAATTTTCATTGTCATGACAGGACACCGGTCACCGTCGCCAGAAAGAAATCAGCCAAACTCTTATGAATCACAGAAAAATACTTTTGAGAACATAAAAGATAACTGGCGTGATAATGAAATAAACAGTAAGATCCAATCAGAACGACAGAAGGAGATGGACCTGTTGTTAAATAGATTCAAGAAACCCAGACAAAACACTACAGCACCAAAGAGTACACTGGCCGGTAAGCCTCCAAGATGCTCATTTATCCACTGTGGTTGGTTTCTTGGCTCTGTTTTATGCATTTTATTCCCAAATAATCATCTCTCAAGTGATATACAAAATGTTTTCAGCTTTGGCTTGTAAAATTGACTTCATTTCACAAATTTTAGTTTCAAGTTGGTCATATTTTGCTTAAAGTTGAGGTCAGTGAAGACTTGTATTAATTTATTTTGAATTTATTCAGTTTTAAGAAACATTTTCATGCAATAAATACAATTGTAGGGCTTGCTTGACATTGACTATTGAGCTTAGCTTTAGATATATTGAGATGATATTGATGTGGACTGTACCTGTGGTGAATGACTCATGATGGTACAGTGGGTGGAAGAGATGGTTTGAGTCAGTAGCTGCCTGGCTCTGGTCTTGGGATGTATCAAAGATGACAAGAACTTTAAAAAAACAAAAACAGTATGGGGTGAGAATAAGGGAGAATAGCATGGTGACATCCACATTTGCATCTGATGCAGATTCAATTCTGCTTTGAAGTGTTCAAAAACTGTATTGAACTGTACAGGTATATATGATGTCATGGTGGCTGGATGGACTGGGCCCAGTGTCTTTCTCCATGGGAATGAGGTTGAGACTGACCTGGGCTGATCACTTGGTTGGGAAGTTGTTATATGGCTAACCTCACACAAGCTTGGTGAGTGGCTGTAAAACAATGATGGTGGCAATGGTGTATGTGGTTGACCAACAAGGGGTGGTGAGTGTTGCCAGATGAAAGATTTGCTATGAGCGGAAAAGGATGTTGATGTTTGTGTTTCTTCCTTGGGACAGTGAATCCAAGTTTGTCTGAAGTGACAGCACATTTTAGAGTAAGTGTATCTCCTTACCGTAATGGAAATCTTTGTGTTGGTTTTATTTTTGTTTTAATTCATTGTTTTTGCAGAAATACCAAAGTATGCAGTAGAGTCAGAGTCTGAGTACTTGGAGAGTGATGAATCATATGCCGAATCAACTTGCTCCGAGGACATGCTTGGTCGAGAAGACGTGTCGGGACCTCCCAAGCCTCCACGACTCTTCCTAGAGTCTTCATCAGTACCAGTGGGTTGCGAGTCATCTCCGCCTCCACCACCTCCTCCTACCTTCCAGAAATCACCCAGTCATCGGTCCATGTCCTCTCATAGTAGACTTAACTCAACTGAAATAGGAGGTAGGTCTGCTGTGTGCTTTGTAAGCTAATATGAAAAAGTGAGCTGCTCTCTACACTTATTGATCTTTCACTCTGTCATCAGCGCATTTAAAGATTACTTAAAGAATTTATAATTGAGAAAATGACACAAAAATGGTCATTTGTGTTATCTTGTGAAAGTATATTTGGTATGAAACTTTGGTATCCTTTTGTACAAATGTTTTTTATTGTTTCTTGTCAATCATTGCATTGGCACTTGGTTTTTCACCTTGCACGTGTTTACAGAAGTCCGTGTGTCTCCCAAGAAAACATTTATAACCAAAGTGAAGCCTGGTTGTATCTACCCATCACTCTCTGACATTGAGTCTCACTCTGAAGCTCCTGAAAGCCAAGATGAGGAGGATGTACGAGACTCAAGGTATTTCTACCACAATGACGTGATCTAATTTCCATTATATTTTATGACTGCATTATGTATCCTTGTAATATTGAAATGATAGTTTTTGGATATAATAATGGCTTCATCCAGGGTTCTGCTTTAATTGCCATACTGGTACCCAAATATACAGGAGGTTCCGGGGTTACTAACGGGTTCGGTTCCTGAGGACGTTCTTAATTCAGAGTTGTACGTAAGTCGGAACGTGTGCTATGTCCGTACCGTACTTACAGAACAATGTTTAAAGTCCCACTACTATATCATAGCCTAAGTCCTTATTTACATCTAAAATCAGAAATTAAGACAAGAGAAGAAATAGAATGACAAAATACAGTAAATGAAAGTAAGAAATGTCATCAGGTAAATAAAATACTGTGTTTCAAGTTTAACCTCGTTCATATTGGCGGGCATTCGTAAGTCGGGGACCCCCTGTATATATACTTTATCTATTGATGTAATTATAGATTTTTTCCATTTCATTTCAGTTTTTCTGAGAGTGTATTAACTTGTGCATCAATGGAGAGTCTAGGACATAAAATACAGCAGGCAGCCTCTGCTAATGTGAACAAACCCCTGTCCATGATTGCTGAGACTACGGAGTCGTCCCGATGTGATGTAAGTTGAGATTTTATTCCAATTAGACTCGATATTCGTATTTACTGTTTATTTTTTATATATTTTTTATTTTTTCGAGAAAATGATGTAAGCCACAGGATATTTAGTGATGAGGAAGAGCATGCACGTCATTTCATTTTCCTTATCCTCTCTTAATTTACTGTTTACCTACATAGAAATTGACAAGGCAAGATCAGAAACGTGCATACTTCTTTACCACAAACAAAACCCCTGATATTGTACATTCATACCATACCCCATGCTGTGTTTACAGCTTAGTTTATCAAGGAAGAGATACTAAACTAAGTCATATTTGTACTAGGAATTAGGGATGTTATTTACAGTACAGTAGGCCCTTCAAATTCACGGGGGTTAGGTTCTCAAAATGGCCGCGAATCGCCAAGTCCATGAATAACATTTGTTGACTGGGGAGGTAATTTTTACTTGCATACAAAGAAATGTATATTCCTTTTATGTGTTTTCCCTTAGGACAATTATTTCTTTTACCCTTATTGTATATTTTATATATTGTATATATATATATGTGTGTGTAGAGATACACACACACAAAATGCCCACAAATAAATAATAATGGGAAAATCCTCTCACAAATAATCAGAAACAAATTTTTAATACATTTGTTTCTGATTATTTGTGAGAGGATTTTCCCATTAATATTTATTTGTAGGCATTTTGTGTGTGTGTGTGTCTACACACACACACACACACTCATACATACTGCATATACAATACAGGTAAAAGAAATTATTGTCTCTAGGATGAATGGCTCCCTGTCCTGGCTGCAAAAATGCCAGCAACTTTGAAACTACCCACAGACATTCTTGGGTACAGCCAGGGTGTCCTCCACGAATAATAGAGGACTGAAATAAAAATCCATGAATTATCCGGGCGTACTGTACACTATCTTGTGATTTTTAGGGGTGTACTGTTCTAGATAGACTATCTGTCTAGCTTATTGATATTTTCACCCTGTTGGATAGATATGATTTCCAACTTTATATAAATACAGTTGAATAATGACAAAAAAAAACGAAAATGGATAATAAAAGGACTCAGTTATGGCCAAGTTGGCCTATTATTAGTCCTGGATTATTTTAATTTATATACAGTATAGTAGTCTGGTGTTACAGATCTCCTATTTTGATGTAAACTGTAGCTGTTCAATTGGTGTCATTGTTGTTGTAGTGGTTGTCATGCACAGTTTTTATTAATCTTTTCTGTATAGTGATTTTCTACTTACCGGTAATAGTTTGTCCAAAAGGTGCTTCTGTTTCTGTAAATATACTTCGGTAGGTACTAGCTTGGCTGAAACTATAATGTTTTGGGACATTATTTTGCCTGAGCAAAGTTTTGGGTTAATATTACACATATACAATGGTCCCTCGGTTAACGAGCACAATCCGTTCTAGAATGTTGCTCGTTAACCGAAAAACTCGTTAACTGAAACCGTTGTTTCAATGGGTTTTTGGGTAATTGGTTCCAGCTCACCGAAAATTGCCTAAATTCAACAAAAAAGGTAGAAAAGTACACTTACTTTGAGGTGTGTATGTAGAAGGCTCCTGGATGATGATGATGGGAATTAGAATGGGGGTGGAGAAGGGAGAAGAGAAGGCATTAGGGTGGAAGAGAAGTCACCCCATGGCGCCATTTCACCCATGAAATTTTAGTTCTCTTGGTGCAATTCAAGATTATTTTCTTTAAATCAACACTGCACTGCATTATATATTGTCAATATGTAAAATAAATTTCAAAATGACCAAAAATTTGCTTGCAAAAACAGAAAAAAGGCATTTAGTTGAAGAGAGATGTTACCTCCACTGAAAAGGTACAAAGACTGACGCCTGTATGGTGTGTTGAGAGGCTGGATGGCACGCATAAAACTAGTTTCATTACCTTCAATTATGTTAATAATTGTTAAAATGAGTAAAAAATTTAATATTAAACTTTTAAAATTATTGAATAGTATAAACTTCTTGATATTTGCTAAAATGGTAAGGAATTTAAGCCCTAGAACCGATTACTGTATTGGCGGACTAATACTACAGCTGGTGGATGCCAAATGCAAGTGAAATCATGTTCAGGTTGGCTCGTAAGAAACTCGTTAATCGAGGGATTGCTCGTTAACCGAAGTTAAGAATCTTATGGAAGGCAACTCGTTAACCGAGGCGCTCGTTAACCGAGGGACCACTGTATACAGTATTGTGAATATCTATTTCAAGAACTGACTTTATTATTATTTTGCTGCCCACGTCCTTTGATGAGTATTGGTGTAAAAGATATTTCTGCTGTATACATTAGTAATTGTTGCTTGATAACAGTTTTGGTGAAAATATTTGGATATTAATGCAATTGCACATATCATATTGAATTTTTAAAATTTATTTCTCATTGTACTTAAGAGTGAAAAGTTAAAAAAAAAAAGGATAAAGAGAAGATGGAACATACTGTAATTCTCTTGGGTAACATATTAAAATGCATCTTCCCATTGCTACATATTTCAGTTTGAAATAATTTATATTTTTTAAACTACAGTAAACCCTTGCTATTCACTGGGATTAGGTTCCAAGGAATGGCGTGAATTGGCAAAACCACGAATAGCTACTTGTACTACCTTAGTGCACTACTGAATACCTATATGTCTGAGAAACTTAAGTCACCAATACTACTTAACTTTGAATGTGGAAGTTTGGAGCTTGATGAAGTGTACTGTAAAATAGGATGAAATCTGGTTACTGAAGCATAGGGAGACTAACAGGATCACTATTGGAAGAGGGTGATGCAGTGGTGGTTGGTGGAGAGGCAGGTGGTGGGGTGGCACATGGCAGGGAGGTGGGTGGTGAAACAGTAGCAGCAGCTGACCGAGTAGGTGAAGGAGACGAATCAACTGGGCGAGCAGCTGGTTTTTTCTTCAAAAACATGGTGATTGGTAGTTGTTTCCTCTTGGTTTTGAGGTCTTTAAACATTTTGTGGTAGGGAATCAATGACTGGTTGGTTTCTTGGACGATCTTAAGGTTCCATTCCATGGAAGGGTCGTGATCAACAATGAAAACGGTTACTACCTTCACATGTCGAAATTGTTCAAGCCCCCCAACCTTCTTGTTGCAATTCCATAATTTTTTCTGCTTTATCTTCCTCAGCACTTTTTACCAATTCTTCCAAATCTTCTTCTGTCAGTTACTCTTTGTGCTCATCAATCAACGCTTCGATGTCTTCAGCGGCCATGTCCACAAACCCCTCACCACCCATTTGATGTGCAACACTCACAATGTTATTCACATCCTTTACTTTAGACAAATCCCTGGAAGTTATTCACACACTCAGGCCATAGGTTTCACCAACAAGCATTCACTGTCTCTGGTTTGAGTTCACTGAATGATTCACAGATGTTGGCTTTAAAGTCTGCAATGTTGTACTCCTTCCAATACTTGCTAACATCAAGGTCAGGGTCTGAGTCTATGGCACTATGGATATGACCAAAAGAGCTTCGGGTGTAATATGCCTTGAAGGTGTGTATTACACCACCTCTACACCTGGGTGGCTAAACTGCAAACTTTCTGGGTGGGCTGGTGCATTGTCTATTAAGAATAGCACCTGAATGCCATCTTCTTGGAAGCAAGGTACTTTTCCACTTCTGGGATGAAGCATTTATGGAACCAATGCCTTTTTGTTGGGGTTTTTGTTTTGACCTTTTAAAGCCCTGGGGTTTGCTGAGTGGTAAAGCAAACCAGGTTTAATCATGTGGCCAGCTGCACTGCCACAGAAGATGAGTCACTGTCTTTGGCTGCCTTGAACCCAGGGGTATGCCTCTCCTGCTTGTTAATGTACATTCTACCAGGCATCTTTTTCCAATATAGACCAGATTCATCGACATTAAAAACTTTTTTTAGCTCTATAGCCTATATCTTCTATTTTTTCCTTAATTTCGCGGGAAATGCATCTGCAGCTGTGTGGTCAACTGATGCGGCCTCCCCATTCAGCTTCACATTGTGGAGAGAGAATCTTCTCTTAAAATTCTCGAACCAACCTTTATTGGCACTAAAAGTTGGTTCGGTAGCTGCACCTAGCCCGGTCACCACCTGTTGACTCGCACAAATGGGCATAAAGACGGTCTTCTCATTAATCACGTTGTTGTCAATCGGCACATTTATGCGGGGCTGGTCTTCAATCCAAATGTTCAATGATTTTTCAGTTTTCGCAGTGCTTTTGTCACGAACAATCTGCGCCATTTTAGCACTTACAGGAGCACTCGCTTTAACAGAATCGAGAATTGCTTGTTCATTCTTCCTTATAATATATACTGCACTGTGGATTCGTTTACACCAAACAACCAACCTGCTGCGGCAGCACTCATCCCCTCCTTTAACTTTTCTAACAATTCAACTTCCTTTTGTCAAGGTCATCGGTGAGTTCTACCTTTTACATTTCACTCCACTAGCATCACTAATGTTTCTGTGTGAAATGGCCCCTAAAAGACTGCCTAGTGTCAGTGCTAAAGTTTTGAGTATAGTGGTCCCTCGGTTAATGAGCACAATTCGTTCTAGAAGGTTGCTCGTTAACCGAAACCATTGTTTCAGTGGGTTTTTGGGTAATTGGTTCCAGCTCACCGAAAATTGCCTAAAGTCAACAAAAAAGGTAGTAAAGTACACTTACTTTGAGGTGTGTATGTAGAAGGCTCCTGGGAATTAGAATGGGGTGGAGGAAAAGGGAGAAGAGAAGGCATTGGGGTGGAAGAGAGGTCACCCCATGGTGCCATTTCACCCATAAAATTTCAGTTCACTTGGTGTAATTCAAGATTATTTTCTTTAAATCAACACTGCACTGCATTATATATTGTCAATATGTAAAATAAATTTCAAAATGACCAATAATTTGACTGGAAACAGAAAATAGCATTCATGTTGAAGAGAGTCTGAAGCAAGATGTTACCTCCACTGAAAAGACAGAGACTAACGCCTGTATGGTGTGTTGACAGGCTGTTTGGCATGCTAAAAACTAGTTTCCCTGTACAGTACTTAAATCATGTTAAATTATTGTTAAAATGACTCAAAATTTTAATATAAGACTTTTAAAATTATTGAATAGTACAAACTTATTGATATTTACTAAAATAGTGAGGAATTTAAGGCGGACTAATATGACAGCTAGTGTGCAAGCGGAAACATGTTGAGGGGCGCTCGTAAGGAATTCGTTAATCGAGGGAATGACCGTTAACCGAAGTTAAGAATCTTATGGAAGGTAATTCGTTAACCGAGGCGCTCGTTTACCGAGGGATCACTGTACAGCACAAGAGATGCTGCATCACAGGCAATGGTTGAGTGCGAACAAAGGGAGAGGATACGCTACTGGCACGTGGGGTGACTCGTTGCGCTGTGGGAGAGGTTTGCAAGCTAGCCAACATCTGGTTACTGTGAGTTGTTGAAATTGTGAATCTCAAGGGTTTACTGTATAGCATATCTGGTACCTGGCAGATAGTAAAATTTACTATCTGGTGCATCCCTGGTGATGTTCACTTGTACATTGACATTTCATTGTTAATTAATTCAAAATATTTAATGAACTACATAATTGTGCAGTTGGCATCATAGGAGTTGAGACAATTTGTGGCTGATGGAGACATATAGCATCACCTTGAGGTAGTCGGTACTATAAATGAAACCCTTACACCCGGCAATTTGGAGTGATTCATGAAAAAATACTGGATTACCTTGAAGAGATGCCAGATGTCCCCATCGGCCACAAAATTTCTCGCTTCCTATGTTGCCAACTGTATGTAGAGCATATCTTAAAAGATTATATCATGAATCGCTTGTAAATTTTGACAAGTTTTTGGTCTAGAATACCAAACTTTTTCCACAGTAATAAAATTTTTTACATGTCCTTATGATGTTATTCTTGAGTTGTAATATAATCATAAAATTTCAGTTAAACGTTATGTCAGAGAGTACAATGGACGCTCTTGGTGCTATTGATGACGCCATTGATGAAGCTCTGAATGATGAACCAACGCCACCCAAGAGATTCCGTTCTCAAGATGACACTGTGAGTTTGATTATCATTTGAGATATATTAGAGATGGTTATATATAGACACCCAGATTTTAGGGCTTATTGTTGAAAGGAAGAACCATAACAGAACAGAGCTTTTAGTGTTCGGAATTGTGGAATGGCAGAAATGAATAAAAAAAAATTTAAATTGTTTTCTCAATTTCAGCCACTTTGCATTATATGGGAATACGTGTAGACTCTTTTCTTAGGTAAATCACTAAGAAGATAAGTTGGTTTTCAAGTACAGTGCTGGTAACTTATTTATAAAAAAAAAGAAGCCCTTTGCAGTCAGTTGTTTACCTCTGACTATATTTAAACACCACTGAATGTTTTCTCCATTTATACAGAATGGGTTTTGTTCGTAAATAAGACATTAACATTTTTATTATTGGTACAGCTGTAATAGTAGGTGAAAAAATATTCTTTGATGTAAAAGCCAAATTGATGCTTATTTCTATACAGCATTTATGCTTAACGCTATTTTGGTTGTCCGTAATTAAAAATAAATGAGTGTCTCTTCTCTGGTGTAGCCTTCAAGTGTTTACAAGACTCCAAAGATTAACAGGAACTCCCCCACCTATGATGAAGAGGACCAGGAGAACCCCCTCATTCACAGCATCTCCATGTATCGCAAACAAAGACCGGTAAGCTCCTTCCTTCCTTCCCTTCCTTCCTTCCTTCCTTCCTTCCTTCCTTCCTTCCTTCCCTCCCTTCCCTCCCTTCCTTCCTTCCCTCCTTCCCTTCCTTCCTTCCTTCCTTTCCTTCCCCTTCCTTCCTTCCTTCCTTCCTTCCTTCCCCTTCCTCCTTCCTTCCTTCTTCCCTCCTCCTTCCTTCTTCCTTCCTTCTTTCCTTCCTCCTTCTTCCTTCCTTCCTCCTCCTCCCTTCCTTCCTTCCTCCCTCCTTCCTTCCTTCCTCCTCCTCCTTTTCCTTCCCTCCTTCCTCCCTCCCCTCCTCCCTCCTCCCCTCCTTCCTTCCTTCCCTTCCTTCCCCTTCCCTCCTCCCTCCTCCTCCTCCTCCTCCCTCCCTCCTCCTTCCTTCCTCCTTCCTTCCTTCCTCCTTCCTTCCTTCCTCCTTCCTTCCTTCTTCCTCCTTCCTCCTCCTCTCCCTCCCTCCCTCCTCCTCCCTCCCTCTCTCTTTCCACATGTATCGCAAACATTTCCTTAATCCTTCCTTTCCTTCTTCCTTTCTCTTCCTTCTTTTTCCTCTTCCTTCATTGCCATATCCATTAATTGCCAGTAAGCTCTCTTTCTCTATCTCCATAGTCCTTCCTTTCCTTCTTTCTTTCTTTCCCTCTCCCTTCCTCTCCTTATTCCTCTATGTCTTTCCCTTCCTTCCCTCTTCCTATTTCCACTCTTTCCTTCCCCTTTCCTCTCCCTTTCTCCCCCACTTTCCCTTCTCTCCTTCCCTCCTGTAGTTCCATTGATCACTTTACTATAGTGCATTTTTTCCCAGCTGAAAAGAGATGCCCAGCCCCCTCCTCAAGAGTTACAGCCGATTGGTTGTTGCAAATCTCCAATTTCGTCCGGAAGTAATGATGTATGTCTAAATTAGTTTATTCATAATCGTTGGGATAATTGTTTCTGACGAGAATGATATTTAGCTAAATTATATAAAGATATACATTCATCATTTCAAACAGGAGCACGTAGGAAGTTTATCAGAAATCTTTACATGAATTAACTGTTAAACATTGGTAGCAAATTCACGCTTTTTGAGGACGCATTTAGTATACAGTCTCTCCTCGACTTACGACGGGGTTCCGTCCCGACGACCGGGTCGTAAGTTGAAAAGCCGAAAATAATACATAGAAATTCTTAAATGGGCGTCTCTTTTTCTTCTCAGCACCATGAGAACTCTCACTTTTATGCTTGCCAGCCATTTTAAAGGGAATTACAAAATTTTTTTTTGTCAGTACACAGCGCTATCACGCAATGTGAAAAATGTTTTATACGACTATGGCCGTCATATGTCCGGGTTGTCGTAAGTCGAATATGTCGTAAGTTGAGGAGAGACTGTATACTGTATTTATTTTTACCCACAATAAAGCATACCAAGACAAATTACATATCGTCTTATTAACTCTCCTCCTTTAGTCGACAATAATATCTCTCTCTCGAGGTCCGATACCATAGAAGTGCATAAATCATTTGTTCAAAGATTTAAGAGCTGCATGTGCACTGATCAGGCTTTCACATTTCTAAAGCAGTTACAGGTAGTTCTGCTATAACGCGATAATTGTGTTCTTGTAAAATATCGTGTTATAGAAAATCGCGTAATAGAAATAACAGGGCTTATGGAGAAAATAGGGTTAGGTGCAGATTACTCGAAATCGAAAAAATTTAGTAGTTAGCCTAACACAAAGGATAGCACAGTCTAAATAAATGTTACATTCATATCTAATAATGAAATCATACAGTAAATTTAACACTTTACCTTGAAAAAATATGAATGTAACTTGATGGGGGAGAAGGGTGATTTTGAGGTTGATAACATCAAGCTTCTCTTCAAGTGTTATATCCTTTCTTTTACGATAATCACCGGGAATTCTATCATCAGAATGCTTTTTGGAGATATTCTTCTTTACCATATTCACAGTTAATACCACAAAATTGGAGAAATAGTAAGCAAAAATCGCGTTATAGCAAACAAGCGATCGCGTTATACAAATATTGTTCCGAATTCATAAATCGCGTTAGAGCAAATTCGCGTTATCAAAACACGCGTTATAGCAGAACTCACTGTAGTACCACATCCTAGCTTACATCAGTAAGACTTATAAGTGGAAGTTTTGTCTCTTTAAGTATCTGAAAAGCAAATTACTGAGGTAAGAATAAAAAGTGAAGCTTATGAAGCAATAAAGTGGCACACCTTCAAGTACTTAACAGTGTGAATGTGTCCAAAAAAATTACAGTATAGTACCTGTAGTAAAAAGAAAGGTCCCTCTACACTTGCCACAATAATATTGCCCTCAACTTAGTACAATTTAAGGATAAACGTGTATGGGAATGTAAAATGGGTAATTTTTGTTAAAAAAAAATACTGTGATTGTTTTTATCTACCGCCTCTAGGAAGTGACCTACACTCCAGTGCGCCAGATTGTTCGTCGACCAGACTTGCGCTCTCCAACTCCCGAGCCTGTCAGCCCATCTGTCACTGTCAGTGCTCGCATCAAGGAATTACAGGAAGATGTAAGTCTCTTTTAGAAGCTTAGTTATATTTATGATGTGTAAATGACAACACTTGAAATCCATTACTCTAACCTTTAGAGAACTGTAACTGATCTAAAGTTAGTACCATGTTTTGTAATAAACTTTATTTGAATTACAGGTGTCGGAGCAGCAGCGGGTAATTGCCCAAGCCTCCAATGCTGTTACTGTAGTGCTCCAGCGTCTTGAACAACAGGGAACTCCACAGCATGTGGAAGCTGAGAAGCTGTTGCTGCTTGCCAGTCAGAAGAGACAAACAGCACTGAATGAAATTCAGGTATTTTTCATGTACCTGGCTGATATGGGGGGACTGCAAACCTTGCTTAGTAAAACACGTGTGATAGATTTTCTGAATTGAGGTGAGTAACATGTGGTTTATTGTTAGCATACAAGATTGATGGGATAAGCTAGGATTCCATTCACGCGTTTGCAGTCCGTTTGCATTTTCACTTGCTACAGGGGGTGATTGGCATGTACTGCAAATGTATAACGCTAACGCAACCGTGTCAGTGGAAACAACCGCATACATTTCAATGTGATCTGTTTTTGGCGCCAACGCATGAATAGAATCCTAGCTTAAAAGTAAGACATACTTTGGGAGATGAAGAAATCACAGAAGATGCCATGAATATAACTTGACTGAGTGAATTGTATTTAGGCTGTCATTAATTGTTTGTTTGTTGATAGAGGGATACAGGGGAGATGTTGAACTAACAATATGGGTGTGGATGCAAAAGGGAGTAACTTAAAAGTGACAGGAATGTTGGGTTTGAGAGTAAAATGTGGGGAAAAATAGGATGCACCAAACTATAAAACAAAAGTAGATACAAGGAGAATTATGGAGTAATTTTTTATTCAAGAGCCTTAAATCATTCCCATACACTAAAAACTATATCAATTAGGAACCTAATATTTCATGTAAATGTAGCCTAATATTACAGAAAGACATGACATGATCCTGAGTGGCATTTAATGGTTTTCACTCGGTCATGTCTTGGTGCTCACAAACACAATGACCACCATGGCATGACTGAGTGAAAACCTGGTAAACATCACTAACTGGTCACATGATACCTGATAACTCTAAGGATCATGTCACGTTCTTTCTGTAACATTAGGCTACATTTATGCAAAATATTGGGTTCCTAACTGATATAGTTAGAAAATAATTTAAGGTGAAATGGACATTGAGAGAATTGGAAAGTGAAAGATTAGTATTGAAAAGTTTATATCTATACAGTACTGTAATTCAGAGGTAGATGGGTGAGTGTGAGGGCAGGAACCAAGGAGGACGTGAAAGGGTGAGGTGAGGGAAGTACTATAAGTGAGGTGGGAGTGACATTAAGGAAGCAGCAGAGGGCATGAATGAATGTAAATAACAGCATTGTGTGATTTTGGGGGGAAAGATGCGATATTGGCTTGTGTGGTGTGAAGGGTAAAACCAGATTTGGGAGGCTTCATTGTGGAAGGGGAGTACCTCTGCAGAATATAGATTTTATTGTTGTAAGAATGAGTGGTGGGGAAGTGTGTGCATGTAATTGCTCTAGTTTCCAGCTACACAGCATTGGCAGGAAAGGGCTGGAAATATAAAGTAGAAAAGAGGAGGGTAAATATTTAGAAGTTGCCTATGCCTACTTATATATTGAGTCATATAGGGAGAAAGTGAAGAAAACAAAAATAATAATAATTTATTCTACTGTATAATGTTTCTGGCGGAAATTTTTATATTTTTTAGTATTTTAACCAATAAAACCCCGAACAATATTACTGGCAACTTTCACCAAATATTTTTGGTAAACTGTGTTTTTGTTTCTATTCCTTTTACTTATTCTTTTTCATTGAATTTTTCTCTTAAGATGGAATAGAAAAGCAGTAACACAGTAAATTGTATAACTGTATATACCGGTTCATGTCAGAATTGTATTGAATTGCATGTTGTCCCATTTGCAGAGAATAAAGGCTGAGGGAGCCCTGGGGCAACAGGGGTCTGGTGATGAGGACACCTGCATGGGCTCCATTAGTATCAGCAATGTATCTGTTCCTCTTAAACAGGACTTCCTCCAGAAAGGAATGACTGGTAAGTATTGGATGCCTTGTATATTTATTTTATTTACGTACATTTGTCTCCATTATTTCTTGTATGTCAGGGTTGTATACATTTAAAAAAAAAATGGCGACCTGTGGTGTATTGTTCAGCATGCTCGCCTCGCAGGTGAGTGGACCCAGGTTCGATCCCCTAGCAGGGTGAAACTTTGGGCAAGTTTCTTTATGCCATTTGCCTCTGTCTACACAGCAGTAATTGGGAACCTGGATGTTAATCGATTTGTGGATCATATTTCAGGGTAATGGTTAGCCTGTGCTGTTGGTGAGCTGTCTGGTCTTTTCGGACTGTTTCTTGACACTGGGTCATGCAACTTGTTAACTTAGGGTGTGTTGTGGTGTTGGCGACAGCTTCTACACATTAAACAAGTTCACGCCTAGGTGGCCCTAGGGCCGGCCACCCTCAATCACGAGGGGCATCCATTCTTACATTAAAACACTTGTAAACTAGTGTATGTATTCATTAACATACTTGTCCATTGTATTATTTACAAATATTCCAAAAGGAAAGCTCATATCCAATTTAATGTACAGTATTAGATTTGGTCATAGCTCATTTAATAATACTTCCAACTTACTTGTACAGGGGGCCCCCCAAATTCGCGAGGGTTATGATTCTCAAAATGGCTGCGAATCGCTAAATCCATGAATAACATTTTGAGGAAGGGGGGGGGGGTACATTTTTACTTCTGTACAAAGAAATGTATATTCCCTTTGTGTTTGCCCTTAGGACAATTATTTCTTTTACCTGTATTGTATATATGTGTGTGTGTGTGTGTACATACACACACAAAACACATACAAGTAAATAATAATGGATAAACACTCACAAATAATCAGAAACAAATTTATTAAATATGTGAGTCTACCCTCAAGTCTGTGCTTTATAAATAAAGTAATAAAGCACGGACTTGAGGTTAGACTCACAATTTTAATAAATTTGTTTCATATTATTTGAGAGTATTTTCCAATTATATTTATTTGTATGTGTTCTATGTGTGTGTGTGTGTGTGTGTGTCTACACACACATATTTACAATACAGAAAAAGGAAATTGCTGTCTCTAGAACGAAAGACTCCCTGTCCCAGCCGCGAAATTGCTGGCAACTTTAAAACTACCCACAAACATTCTTGGGTACATCCAGGGTGTCATCAGCAAATAACAGAGGACCGCAAAATTTTTCATCCACTATCCTGTATGTGCAGATGACTACTGGGTTGTTCACTTTACTTTATGGACCTTTCACCCTTGTAGTCCCACACCCACCATGTCTGCTCTGTTTTGTCTTCTTCCCTTGCTAACATATCATACTCCTATCTAACAGTCCCACATCCATTTTCTCCACATTACCCAAGTTTGATAATCTACAGAGTAATATGATAAATCTTTTGCGCAGGTGATGATTTGTACCATTTGATGGTTCTGGTGAAGCACCGTGAGCAGGTGATATCCTCCCAGCTGCTGACAACACCCGAGTGTGTGGTGGAGGGATCAGTCACCTTCCCCAACCTCATGGCCCTCCATCACCTCACATCTGACTTCAACATCACCCTTGAGGTGTATGCGTTATGTACTCACCAGCAACGACATCAAAACATAAAAAAGGTACATCTCACAATTGTCTGTTTCACATAGAGACTTGCTGTATTTGCATTTGAGAATTACTGGGATGTATTACTGGGTTCATCAGTACCTCAAATTATACAATATGATTGGGTTACAAAGGGTTGCTCCAACTTTCAAAGAATTTTGGTGTCTTCGTAAAACTCAAGATAAATATACAGTAGGTATTTGAAGAGCTACTTTGCGTTGAATGAAGATACAGTGCTTTGAAAAGAAAAGTTAATGTACATGTTCAAAATCTTGTCGATCAAATTGGCAATACAGTATAAGAAAGGAAAAGGAAATTAAATGTAAATTGATCCTCAATGCATGTTTTTCATTTCCTCTCATAGCTCAGAAAACATAGATTTCTATTTTAATAATTTTCAAAAGTTTACAGAATAATAGTGATAATGCAGTTATTGGTTTTAAGATACTGTGTATCCGGTGTTAAAAAATGGCTGATTGATGGATTCTTGAGGAGAGGGATTGTTGTGCTCTGCTGCTTTTTATTTCTTAATTATTTATATATTTTTGTTTGCAACAGGAGCAGAGTCGTATGAAGCTGACTCCCCTCAAGAGGTTACAGAAGCATGATTCTCGTGTGGCGTCTCCATCAGTTCAGTCTCCTGGTGGACCTTATGCTGTTCGCACCTCAGCCTTTCAACTGGTTGGGTTCACTCACCTCAATATTGCTACCCTTACCCGGAATGCTTGGACTCTTGAAAAGGTAAATATTTTCCTTTTTTAAATGCTCTGAGCATAATGTAAAAAAATAATAATCTTAAAAGGATTTATGCATTATACAGTTTATTTGGAAAACATATTGCTCTTGTTATTTCTATGTAACAGTTCAGGAGTTATACAGTCTGTCACAGATGTTGTTTCCTTTTCTAAAAACCTGATCAGCCATACTTGATGTCTTTTGCTGTAAATATAGTTACCTTTTCCAAAAATTGCTATTGATGACTTGTTATTAAATGTTGCTGCAGTATCTGTATTTGTTTGTACAGAAACTAAAAGAATTCTTATGTATATGAGCTTCAGATAGCAATCTTTCTTCTACATGTGATGAAATGAAAATGGAACTTTTCCCCCCTCCAGGTACCTTTCTCCTCACCCCTTGATGGCCACCTTCTGATGCGTGTGAGCTGCAGCTTTGAGGGAGGGATCACAGAGCGTGGCTTCCTTACCATGTTTGAGGATGTGGGCGGGTTTGGAGCTTGGAACCGGCGATGGTGCGTCCTGAGTGGAATGCATCTTCGCTATTGGCGGTATCCTGATGACGAAATCAAAAGGGTAAATTTAATCTTGACTTGTATATTATTTTATTAAAACATTCATCCTTTCTTTTATATAAATTGCTGTATACAATAGTATAATTAGTGAAAAGGGGCAGATGATATAATTGTTATAGAAATATGACTGGGTTCAGTGAATTTTTAAAAAGGTCAAAGAATGAGATAGCAGACTGGTAATTAAGCCATGTTAAAAAGTAAGACAACACCATTACCATCATAAAAGTAATACAATCAACCCTTGTGTTTTGTTTGGGTTGGGTTCCTGAAATATCCGCGAATGGCCAAAACCACGAATACTATTTTGGGAATCCCTGTTTCTTTACGTTAATTACTGGGATGTTGCTATAAGCCCTCTGAGTCATATTAGTAGCATCTGTGTTAGCAACAGTTAAGTCTACAATAATAAAGGAAGAATGTAAATTTTTTTTTTGTTAATTTTTATTTACAAGTTGAGGAAAATGGTAAATACGGGATATGATAATGATTAATAGTCCATGTCATCACCAGCCTCCCCGCTTGCACACCACAACCTCATGCCAACCTTCTCTGCCTCCCTGTTGCCCACCAAAGCCCTGCTTCCTATTAAAGAAAACAATTCAAATGAATTGGCAATCTTCTTGCATATCCTTAAATAGACCAAATGTTTTTACAAATAAATAATGCAAAACAAAATTAGAAGTAGCATTTGAATTAACTTGGTGTAGATAGTCAGCTAATAGGGTTGAAAATTATAGTCAAACACAGAAATTTCTTCCCTTATCGAATTAATATTTTTCCCTGGCACTTCAGACAAAAGTATGTTCAGTGCTTTGATATTTAGTACTTATCAGTACATAATTTACTGATTGACTAACCTTTAATGGTAGAAATGATGAAGATTGTAAAGTTACTGCCACCCACAGTCGTCAGATGAAGCCAGGGAGAGTAGGGGAGGGAGGTCATCAGCTGATTCTACATCTGGTGGTGTGGGTCAGGTGCTAGGTGTCGACAACTGGGAACTTGTAGAGTTTTGATGGCTCTTTCTTTAAAAACAAAAACATTGTGATGGAAGGCTGCTCTGTGATGGAAGGTTGTTTCCTCATGCTTTAGCTGCTTCATAATTTCCATGTATGAAGTCATAACACTGTCAATGCCATTCTTGACTTTCAACACGTGGTCCAGAGAAGGGTCATTATCCATCATGAGGGAGACTGCACTCTTCACACTCCTCATCATCTCGCCAAACTTCTCCAGTGTCCACACCTGCGGGGCATCAGTCTTCTCCTTTTCTATCTCCTGCTCCTTCTGTTCTACCTCCTGCTCCCCTTTCTGAAATAACTCCTCTAACTCCTCTTTGGTTAGTTCTCCAGAATTGCCCAGCAGTTCCTCACGAATTAAATTTTTTTGCATTTCGGAGAATCCCTCGCAGCCAACTTCACTTACCAGATTCACGATGGTTAATATTTAAGGGTCTTCTAGGGAAGCCACTGAAGTCATTGATGGCTTCAGGCCACAATTTCTTCCAGCACGAGTTGATACAGTGGTAAGACAGATCATCATGGCACTTCTTAATTAATGTGAGGCAGTTGGAGATTGTTAAACTTTTTACAGCACTGCCTGACATCCGTTTAGCTCTCTTCCAGTGCCTGTCTGATCCTGGTGAAGTTTTGAGCAACTTATTTTGTCTTAAAAACAGCAATAACACCTTGATCGAGTGGCTGGATGAGTGAGGCGGTGTTCTTTGGCAGAAAGGTTACCTTTATATTAGGGTGGGCAAACATCAAGGATTGTGGATGGCCTGGGCAGTTGTCAATCACCAGCAGCACTGTAAACTGTATGCCCTTCTTCAAATACTTCTCCACTTGGAGGGTAAAGCAGTTGTGAAACCAGTCACTAAAGAGTATAAAGGTCATCCAGGCTTTCTTATAGTGGCAATAGAACACTGGTAATTGCTGTAGATCTTTCCCCTTCAGTGCTTGTGATCTCGTTGCCCTATAAATAAGCATAGGATATCATGTGGCCACCTGTGTTACCACACAACAATAGTGAGACCCTGACCTTTGCCACCTTAAATCCTGGTACCTGTGTCTCTTACTTGAATATGTATGTTCTGCTAGGCATTTTCTTCCACCACACCTGTTTTGTCTGCATTGAAGACTTGCAGCCACATGATCAGCAACTCTCCCCTTAAAGTTCTTGAATCACCCCTTGCTGGCCACAAAAGAGTACTTCCCTTCATCATCTCCTTCAATATAAAATCGTTCATACAAAACCTTGGCCTTCTCACAGATAGTTATATTACTGTATCTACAAGAATGTGGTGGCAATTCAAGTCTTCTGGGAGACTTGAGCTGCAACTGGTGCACAATTAACCATTGCCCGTCTAATTTCCTTTTCACTTTTCTTAATATATCGCACTGTAGATTCATTTACCCCGTATGCATGAGTATATGTGGCATAACTCATACCACTTAGGAGTTTGTCAATAAACCAACCTTTTCTACCAAACTCATTACTCTTTTTGCTCCTTTGTTAACTTTTAAGTCACTAGTGGCTCTTTCAGAGTTAGTACGGTACACTTATGTGTAGGAGCCATGCCGAAAACACGTGGGTTGCTGAGGACACGACAAATTACTGTACTGCATATGCAGTGCGTTATTACACTAAAATGAGAGGGCAAGGACTGTAGGGAAGAGAGGGTGCACAGAAAGCCGAAGCCTGGGCTTCCATCACACCACCTTGTGGGACGCCCAGAAAATGGCACCCAAATCAAATTTTCCCTTTGACATATTTTTATATTCCCTCCCAAAATTCGCTCTTAATCGAAATCGTGGAAAACCCTCCGCAAAAATGTGATGACTGTACCCATGACATCCCTTTCAAGATTATTCATGTCATGTGATACAAATAAGTGAAGGAGATGTTAATTACTGGTAGTTGAAGGTAAAATCATGAATGTTGCAAAAATGGTAGAATATAAGATTATTAATCAATAACATATTTGGGGGGGGGGGGAATCCCTTGGATGGTACAGTTTGACAACATTCTGTAGTTGTGGTGTGACCCAAGCAGAGCCGTCCTGTTTCAACATGAGAGACGTTTAAGTGTTTTCATTTATTGTTTATTTTTTCTTTCTTTGTCTTTTCAGGAAGCAAGTGGACAGATTGATTTACGGTCATGCACCACCCGGCGCGTTGAACTTGTTGCCAGGGACATCTGTGCTCGACAGCATACATTCCAGCTCACCTGCTTACGGCCAGCACATGCCAGAGATGTTACAAATCTTGTGCAAGAAGTTCAGGGTTCCTCTTTAGTCACTAAGTATGTACCTTTAGATTGTTTTTTTTTTCTTTTTTTAAGTTGGGGGTTTACTTTTGAGTAAGAAATGAGAGGAATGTTTTTTTTTATACTGATTGACACATACTGAGTACATGGGGTGTTAGGTCTTAGTGTGGATTAGATAAAACATACATTGGTTTGGTTAAATGGAAAGTATGTTAGATGAAATAATAGTAAATGAAGTGTTTGGGGATGAAGGGAAAGGAATTGGGGTGAGAGGAAAGAACCAGCATCCTGGGAGGTGAAGTTAGGGTTAGTAGAGGGGTGATGAGTGGAGCATGATAAGGAGGTATTTTTAGGACTTGCAGAATGGAACTATGACCACTTCCTTAAAGGTGAGTATCCAGACAGATCAAAGCATCTGTGATATGGATGAGTGACACTCAGATGGTAGTGGAAGTTAGTCTATGATTACCCCAGGGAGTTGCAACCTTGCTTGCTAGCTATTTCCATCTTGTGGGTTGGTGTCAGGAAAGACATTCAGCTGTAAAACTGCTTTAACATTCCTGATGACAACTAGGTCACCAGTGCTGTACTCACCCTGTTATCACGACTGCATTTTCTGGGTTGGTGCCCTGGGTTTGCAGTGGAGTGTTGGAGGTGGAGGATATCCTGTTCTGGTTTTACCCAACAACTGCCATCAGGCAATTACGGCTATTCAATGCAAGCGTAGAAAATGGCTGTAAATGTTGCCACCACTTTTTTTTTCAGTCCTTATCTCACTATAATTTAGGGTGGTCAGATTAAAGAACAAATAAACTCTTCATTTGTTGTTGTTTGATCTCAGTGCATTAACATAAGTTATCTCATGCTTCACATTAGCTGGTTTCAGCATCAGCAGCACTTCCATTTCCAAACACCTCTTGATGGCAAGTTTTGTGGTCACACACACACACACACACACACTTCTTCTTTTCCGTCTTCTCTTCTCCCTTAACTTCTTAACCCCATCATTCTAAATCTTCCTCTCTCCCTCCTTTATTTGCTTTTTATTTATTAATAGTATTTTAAACTTACCCGTCTTAATAGAAATGGCTCTTCATTCTTTTTCCTCCTTTCTTGGGTATCCTGATTGTTTATCAAGATTATAATCTTTCACTGGTTCAGGAGTTTTGACTTTTTGGTGTGATTTTATCCCCATTTTTAACCGGAAATGGGGAGACTTTTAGGAATTGGTAGGATGAATTGAGTCAGCATAGAGGTGTATGTGGAAGTAGTAGTCGTGCATCCCATCCAGAATCTGTAAAAAATATATACAGTGACCCCTCGTTTAACGAACGCCTCGGTTAACGAAATTTCGGTTAACGAACTGCCTTCCATAAGGATCTTCAATTCGGTTAACGAACAAAAATTCGGTTAACGAATTTCTTACGAACCGACCTCAACATGTTTTCGCTTGCACTGGCCGGGCAACCAGCTTTAGTATCAGTCCACCAATACATTAATCGGTTCTAGGGCTTAAATTCCTAACTATTTTAGTAAATATCAAGAAGTTTATACTATTCAATAATTTTAAAAGTTTAATATTAAATTTTTTAGTCATTTTAACAATTATTGAACATAATTGAAGGTAAAGTGACTAGTTTAATGCGCAGCATCCAGCCTCTTAACACAGCAAACAGGCGTTAGTCTCTCTGTTTTCACTGGAGGTAATATCTTGCTTGAGACTCTCTTCAACTAAACGCTTTTTTTCTGTGTTTCCAAGCAAATTATTGGTCATTTTGAAATATATTTTACATATTGACAATATATAATGCAGTACAGTGTTGATTTAAAGAAAATAATCTTGAAATACACCAAGAGAACTAAAATTTTATGGGTGAAATGGTGCCATGGGGTGACTTCTCTTCCACCCCAATGCCTTCTCTTCTTCCTTCTCCTCCACCCCCATTGTAATTCCCATCATCATCATCATCATCCAGGAGCCTTCTACATACACACCTCAAAGTAAGTGAAATTTTCTACCATTTTTGTTGAATTTAGGAAATTTTCGGTGAGCTGGAACCAATTACCCAAAAACCCATTGAAACAATGGTTTCGAATCTGTAACGGATTGAGTTCGTTAATATATACATTTCTTCGTGCCCTTTATCTAATTGGTAATTCCACTTCTGAATGAAAATTAAGAGCACTGTACAATGATATCTCCATTAGCTGGAACAATTGGTGCAGAGAACTTCCAGGAATGAGAGGTTTCAGGGTAACAAAATGACTCTCTCAAAGTCGGAAAAATCCCTCGTCCCCGGAATTTTCCAGGTAACGGAAAAAAGGTTCTTGGAAGTTTCAGAACTTGCCCGTTAAATCTTCTCTCGAACCCAGGAAAATATCGCTTATCCCGGAATTTTCCGGGTACAGTGGTCCCTCGGTTAACGAGCACAATTCGTTCCAGAAGATTGCTCGTTAACCGAAACCATTGTTTCAATGGGTTTTTGGATAATTGGTTCCAGCTCACCGAAAATTACATAGAAACTAAAAATAAATGCAGTAAAGTACACTTACTTTGAGGTGTGCATGTAGAAGGCTCCTGGTTGATGATGATGATGGGAATTAGAATGGGGGTGGAGGAGAAGGGAGAAGAGAAGTCACCCTATGCCGCCATTTCACCCATAAAATTTCAGTTCACTTGGTGTAATTCAAGATTATTTTCTTTAAATCAACACTGCACTGCGCTATATATTAGCAATATGTAAAATATATTTAAAGATGACCAATAATTTGACTGGAAACACCAAACAAAGCGTTTATGTTGAAGAGTCTCAAACAAGATGTTCCTTTCTCTGAACTGGTAAACAAACTGATGCCAAGCTTGGTGTGTTGAGTGGTTGTTTGGCGCACAAAAAACTAGTTTCCTGTACTTCAATTATGTTCAATAATTGTTAAAATGACTACAAGATTTAATATAAAACTTTTAAAATTATTGAATAGTACAATCTTTTTGATATTTACTAAAATGGTAAGGAATTTAAGCCCTAAAACCGATTACTGTATTGACGGACTAATACCACAGCTGGTGGGCAGCCAAATGCAAGCGAAAACATGTTGGGAAAAATTTGTAAGGAATTCGTTAACCGAGGGTTTGCTTGTTAACCGAAGTGAAGAATCTTTTGGAAGGTAATTTGTTAACCAAGGGATCACTGTACTGGAAAAAATTTCTTGAGCTTTCTGGAAAATGCGCCCGATTTTCATCTTTCAAACCCGGAAAGAAAATCCCCCATCCCCGGAATTTTCAGGGTATCGGGAAAATTTTACGGAAAATCGTTCCCAAAGCCGTAATTTTCCAGACAATTCCGACTCTGGGAACGAATTTTTGAGAAAATTTCAATTCCGGCTATCGGAGAGTTGCGTGTCCGAAGATTCTGGTTAACGGAGATATTACTGTACTTAAGTGATGGTTGACAGATAGATTTGTCATAATATGTTTTCTTTTGTTCTTGCAGGCATTTGTTGTCCTCTGACAGTAAAGAGGAGAGAATAATATGGTGCAACAAGCTGAACAAGTCACTGGCAAACATCAGAGCCTGGGACCCTGATGCACTGCGGCCAGAAGACTATCAAGTTTAGTCAGATACGTCTTCACAAATATATATACAAATATAGTTTTATATCAGTTGGTAAAGTCATCAAAGTCAAACTTTCTGCATCTTTTATGGACTCATTGGTCTTTGATTAAGATTGAATAGCTGTTTCGTAACCTGTGTGTCATGACAAAAGTACACTAGTTTTAAATATTGATTAAATGTGTATGTATTTTTATATGTTCAGAGTGTAGTGTTATAGTGATAAGATTCCCTCTAATTCTCATAACCATTTTTGCTTTGTTAACATTCCCTTGATTAGGATGACTTTTTATTATGTAGTTCATATTTTAAATTCAATTTAATAAAGGGTGAACTAACATTACCTCGTATATATTGTTGTAAATATTGGGTTGGGTTGTTAGAAATATGATATAAACATGAAGTAGAGGTGTGCCAATGTTCTTCATATCCACAGATGAATTTTGTTGTTTAGGTTTTAACTCGAGGTTCTTCTCATGTGAAGAATAGTCAGATATATTGAAGGAATGCTATACCAAAACTAACTTTATATGATAGTACTGTACTTATTAGTCACAAACTGGCTAGTTGTGGCCACTTATAGATTAAGGTAAAGAACATATTTATCCTTTTATTTACTTGTTTGTTCTACAATGACTAAACTCCTAACTTTTGAGAATGGCCAAGAGAATACTTGAGGATATATTTTTTTAAGTTTTGGAGTGGACTTCTGTTACTATCATTTCTTCTTTATTTAGTTATTTACATTTCTCTGTTGCTTATATTATGGTATATTAGATATATCCTTATTACACACTATAGCCTTCAATAATCTTTCTTATTTTAATAAAAATAATTACAGTATTTTGTTATATTTTTATCCTTATACTGTACAGTATTTTTAATTGTAGGATCATATAATTATTGTAATTAGGGAAGTATAGGCCTTTGTCTCTCTCAGCAAGTTCTCTCAATGAGAATTTACTTGTATGTGATGACCATATTTTGACTAAATAATTGCTTTGTGTTGGAAGAATTTAATTTTGTGTAACTGAATGGGTTGCATGTACAGTACATTGTTTTGTGTGACCAGTGTAGGAGCACTAGTCTTCTGTGCTGATGGTGTGAACAATGCACTGAGGGAGCAGTTACGTGAGGCAGTCTGTGTTCTCATTCAGTCTCGCATTGTTCTATGGATCTACACAATGCAGACATTAGCGCCGATTGATTTCTGTGATGGTGAATTAAGTGGTGATGATCTGTTGGAAATTGTTGAGGACTATGAAAACCTGGAGGCAGATGGACAGACTGGAGGTAAAGGTGACTTTTTTATTGTTAATTGCAGAGTTTGTGATGGATATGTACCCTAGTCTAAAAAAAAAAAGAATGCACCTGGAGATTGCATTAACCTCTGCCCGTGCTCCCTACAAGGAGGATTTAATCACAAAAACGATGAACGATAAGCAATTCAAAATTTTCAAGTTCAAGTCTCACTTGGATACACATCCACCCACCTCTTCTGCTTTTTCAACCTCCATCATCCAACGTGATGCCTCTCTTTGATCTGTCAGGTCTCTTCCTGACCCTGCTAACTTTGCTGTGCTAGCCTGACTCACCTCCACCACTCCCTCTCCATTGATGCTGTCTGGTGCTGACAGCCTTTGTCCTCTCTTTCTCCTGCTGATGTCATTCAATTGATATCTCTTAACAAGTGAAGTGGATTCAGACCCAGACGACCATCACAACATCTAGCTCCACCAGCAACCACTACAACCACTTAATCATCCATTAGTGGATAGTTGTTCCTGCTGGTGGTAAGTATTCATGTTATTTCTAGTACTGTAATTATTTCGGTTTGAATTTTGTCATAAATTTGTTAGAAAGGGGTTTTAGGGGGGTGCAGCTTTACTAAATATATAAAATTGGGTTCTCTCAATGTAAAATTGGGATTTTTTTTTTAACAAGTGTAATGTTAAGAGGGAAGCCTATATAATGTGTTTTTGAATATGATTTTAATATTTGTTTTGTGAATACACTTCATTAATTATGATTGGTCTCAAGACTTGTTTATGCAGGAAATTAATAATGATTTGGGGTCATGATTGTTAGTCATTGGTGCTGAGAGGCAGCCAGAGATTGTGCAACTTAGATCAGATAATTGTAGCTAACCAACGCAAGTGTAGAAAACGGTCACGAAACTACAACGATGATGCTGACGGATGTGAAAGATTTCACTGAGGAAGATGTTAGATAAAGTAATGTCCAGGTTTATGAGCAGGGGTATCACCAGGGGGCCATGCCCCCTCATTTTTATATACAGTATAGTCTGGATTTATGCGGATTTTGTTTACGCGTTTGGTCATTTATGCGGTGCCTTGCCAGAATGAAATGTTTTAATTACTCGGTAAATTTCATCATTTAGGCGGCACGGGCAGGGTGCGCACAAGGTCGCCCAGTCATCAAAACATTACCAAGTTCTTCACCCACCAGAACCGGCCCAAGTCAGTGATAGTGAGGATATGGACTTTGAGGGGTTTGACAAAGAGGCCCTGCAAGCCTCTGTGGTGGATAGTAATACAATTGATACAGGTGAGGGCCAATAATCTGCCCTCTGCCTCTGAACCAACCCCCATCCCCGTGTGCCCAGTCATCTTTTCTACTAACGTAAGTGTTAAAAAACCTAATATTATTTATATTTCTCTTAAATATTAATTGTGTGTGCATACCATCATAAAATTAACATGTTATTTTTACTACAATGTACGTATTGTGTCGGAAAAAGTGTAGTTTGGGGGTCGGCCCAGTCTCTATTTCAATTAATCCCATATGTTCTGTTATTTCGTTTACGCGTTTCTCGTTTTATGCGGACCTCCACGGGTTCAATTGACCGCGTAAATGCAGACTATACTGTATGTTGATTTTGTTTAAAAATTAAAACTACTGTACAGTATAGTCTGGGTTTACGCGGTCAATTAAACCCATGGAGGCCCATGTATAATGCGAAACGGTAAACAAAATAACAGAACATATGGGATTAATTGAAATAGAGACTGGGCCGACCCCCAGACTACCCTTTTTCCGACACAATACGTACCTTGTAGTCAAAATAACATATTAATTTTATGATGGTATGCAAACACAATTAATATTTAAGAAAAATATCAATAATATTAGGTTTTTTAACACTTACGTTAGTAGAAGAGATGGCTGGGCACACGGGGATGGGGGGTTGGTTCCGAGGCAGAGGGCAGATTATTGGCCCTCGCCTCCTGTATCACTTGTATCACTATCCACCACAGAGGCTAGCGGGGCCTCCTTGTCAAACCCCTCAAAGTCCATATCCTCACTATCACTGACTTGGGCTGGCTGTGGCTGCGGTGGGTTGTGGGTGAAGAACTCGGTAATGTTTCATTGACGGCTAGCATTGATTTGGTCGTGATACAGCTGAACCGTAGGGCTCCATGGATTACAACTGCAGGTTATTACACACTTCGTAGCGATGCTTGACTGGGTCTTTGGCAAGGAGGAGCTTCAATCTCTCGGCTGCCTCGATGATTTCCTTCACATCAGCATGTGTTAGTTTCTGCTCTTGTTCTTCCACCGTAACACCTGGCTGCTCACTGACGTCATCATCTAAATAATAATAATAATTAACGGTTTATTGAAAGAGCATAGCAGCCAGAAGGCTGAAAATATACAGTTAAATAATTGGGGAATGGGTTTCGATTTACAAATAATATACAAGTAACATAAGTGATACAAATAAGATATATAATAACTAGATGGGGAAAAGCTCAAACTACAAGGCATTTCAACATAGTGACAGTGCAAAAAGTAGGATTTACTGGGAGTGAATACTGTACACTGGTTTATAACAAGTTATTGATAATTTTTACAATGGTTGGGACTGGGCTGTTCTTATAGCGATCAGTTCATGCTCGTATGAGCTGGATGAGGTTGTGGTGTCGAACAGCAATTCTCGGGCTAGGGATCTCAGGTGGTAGTGGGAGCCGGTGTTGAGGATGGTACAGAAGCTTCTTACCAAATTTGCAGATGAGGTCGTGGTGATGGTCAGTGAGTCGAAAGGGTCAGTGTGTTGAGCGCTTCTTGATATGTGGAGTAGGAAGGGGAGAGAATAATCTTGCATGCCCTCTTTTGCACTTTTTCTAGGTGTTTATGTTGTGTGGCATTTAGGGAGGAAGACCAGGTAGGGGAGGCATAGGCCTCTCTTGCTATGTCCAATGCCACAGCAACAGACTGAGCCTCGCCAGCCACCGCTTGCCTCTGCCTCCCACCTGGGATACCCTCCAACACATGCCGCCACGCATGACGTATCGTTGCCACAGATAGCTGGCCCCATGCCTCCACCAAGAAATCAACAGCTTTCTTGACGTTGAACAGTTTCCAGAACCGCTTGACTCGCATACACTTCATGGTCCGCCAAATCTTGTTCTAGATCCTCGCTCTCGCTATCGGTGCCACTCAGGAGGTTCTACAATTCATCCTTGGTGTTCGTGAAGTCGTTCAGAAGCCGAAACATCTTTGCGGAGAAAGCAGCCTTCACGTTGCATATCAACTCCTGATCCATGGGATGGATTAACGACGTAGTGTTAGGGGGAAGGAAGACCACTTTTACGTTGGGGTGACGATCCAGCAATAGGGGCGAGTGTCCTGGTGCGTTGTCAAGCAGCAACAAAATGTTGAATGGAACTTTATGTTGCTCACAGAATTTATTTACATCAGGAACGAAACAGTTGTCAAACCAGGAGAGGGACAGACCAGTGAACATTCATGCGCCTTCTGCCTTGGACACCGCAGACTTTACGAAGGCCAATTTTTTGGACATGTTACACTTGCTCAGACTGTCTCATATGGTCATTGTTCAACAGTGATCTTATTACGACGTTTGAAGCCTTGCAGCCACCCAGCGGAAACAGTGAAGGGTTTGGGCTCTGCAACTCCCATTTTTCGCGCCACTGATAGGTAGAGTTCTTTCGCGTAGTCCTGCACTGCCCAAATGTCGACTGCCATGTTCCTTCTTGACTGACGAATCAAGTAGCTGACCAATAAACCTTCAGTCTTGAGCAGCACCTTATTGTGGCAATATTTCACCATCAAGGCACCTACAGACTTTGTGATGCTCATGTGTTCTTTGATCTTGCCGGCATCCTTCTTGATGGTGCGGATCGTCGATTCATTCACTCCATATTGTCGGGCAAGATCCACCTACCTCGTGCCTTTCTCTAACTCCTGGACGATTTTGTACTTAATTTCATAGCTTAAGGCGCGTCGCACCTTCTTGGGCTTGGGGCGGCTTGGGCCAGGTAGTTCAAGGTTTCTCGGGGGTGGTGGGGGTCCAGCGGAAGCCATTGTTGAACAGATTAGCGGGCACGAGGGAGCACTATATACGCGGAGACGGAGGACAGTGGGACTGACGCATCTAAGGTCAGCGACTTATTCCCTCTGGTGGCAGGGCATGTCACGTTAAATTAGACCAATCACAGCTTGTGGCGGAGGGGACGCGTGGCCCAATCACAGTCTGAAACGTCATCGCCACGAGTCTGACGTCAGCGGTGACGTAAGAGCAACCTAGAGCGCAGCTTGCCCGCGCCGCTTCCCGTGTAAATTCAGGAATGTACCGTGTAACTAATAATTGGCGCGTCTGGACAGGTGCTGCGTAAATGACCAACTGCGTATAAAAAATCCTCTTAAACCGAGACTATACTGTACATAAAATTTGCTGTCAAGGAGTGACTGTTATGATGCCCAAATTATGAAGTACCATGCAGAGTCTGCTCCCCCCCCAACTCAAGGTTGCCAATGTAGCAAGAAAACCGCTAATCCTAGTGAATTTGGATTGCTCT